ACTGAAATGACATAACATTCCATCTTATCACGTCATCGAAAAGATAAAAACAAAGATGAAGACCAAGGTAAATTTAAACACTACATATGGATATATTTTGGTTATGAGGCAAGCTAGATATGTACCGTAAGTTTCACTTCTCCAGTGTGGCCCAGGCGCACCTACTTTGTTTTTACTCTACCCCGACTCTGTTCAGAATGAAATTATGTTATTGCCAGTTGTTCGCAGCGTGATAAACGCCCTAAGGTACTTTTCATGAAGATGTCTTTAGGTGGAATGTTAAGTACTAGTTGCTGTAGTGGCATGCTTCAGTATTTCTTTTCCAAGAAAGCAAGAATCGAGAGATAACAAAAATTTTTAAAATTGCTGGAACGTTTTAAGTAACCTAGTTCCCAGAGTCATTTTCTGTACAGGGTTACAATTTTCCTAGCACCCGGAAATTCTCAACTTAGACATAAAAAATCATTTTCACATGACTTCGTGCACTAAATCATTTCAGCTCAGTTATTTGTTAAGCAACTTTAAGTTTAAATCTGATTTTAGGGGAAGAAATAGTTTCCCTTCTATTTGAAATTTTTCGTATTCACACTTCACACCCTTCAATTATATAACTACATTTTTGTTTCAAGTCATCTGAATGGACTTACCGAATACACTTAATTTTTAAGTAATTTCCTTAAGTCTCCTCTTCAAAAAGTTTTGTTTTAATGGTATGAGCACAGACAAATGACTCGCATTATTGTCACGGTAGAGCGGCAGCATTTTATTTATATTGAAGTCGCGTTTATGAAGGAGCAGTCTCCCCTAATCACTCTGCGTGCGTCACAGCTCAAATACTTTGTTCCACAGTTGAGTGTATGGATTTATTATAATGCTCCCAGGAGAATACAAAAAATTCATATATATGTATGTATTTCTCCAATACATACGATGTACAAATGAACGCGCAGTTGTGAAAGACATTTATTTTAATATTTAATGCAATTGAGAAAATTTATGTATGTACATTAAGATGGGGCTTATAAGTTACTTAGAAAAATCGATTACTTTTAATGGGTACTCTCTAGTGTGGTTGCAATCTGTGAAAAAATGGGGAAGTGTCTTTTAAGGCCGATCGTTGTGTGCCGTTTATAAAAATGTAACTCCCGAGTGCCTAGGCCCCTTACAGGTCCTTCTGGGGACTTTACAAAAATGGGGAAAAATAGCAATTTTTATTTGCGTTTTCGCTTGTTTGAGTAAATGAAGGCGATGACTTGAGCTTTTCCGAGTTGCCGGAGAAGAGAGGGCCGCCATCCTCTAGCAAGGTGCCGACGTAATAAGTGAAACAAAATCGGCCGTAAGGGAAAGCCAACCCTGAAAAAAATAAGAACGTACAGCGAAATTTAGTCTCGGTTAAGTTGGCTAAGGAACTCACCCTCGAGCCGGTATGACCGATAAAAGCGAGAGTGATGGCTCGCTTGACTACATGCGGACTGCTCTTGGACTGAACTACCTCGTGTCAGCTCAGCGAACGATGGGCAAAACCAAAACATATGCAACTGTCCGATCCTTCTGGCCGAAGGTAGTCAAGGGCTCCATTTGTGCTCACAAAGCCGAAACACTAAATTCTCGTGGGTACATTGATAGCACACAGTTTGATGGATCTTCACGCGTTGAGACTAAATATCACACAGGATCTTACTGTCGCAACTGCTTAGAGGGGAATAAGCTTTCCAGGTTTCGCGAGTCTATTGTCCAAACACCTCGTACTTCTTAACCATGTAGCCCGTAAGAGCTCTCCAGGACACACAGCTTGCACTTTTCTGTATTTAAGTTCAGTTACCTGAGCGCTCTTCGAAGGACTTGGTAAAATCTTTTTATCCTTAATATTTCCTCTTCTTCTTCTTGTTGGCGCTGTAACCTCACCAGAAATTTTTGCCGTGTATAATAAAGCACTTCAGTCATAAATGCCAATTCAACCCAAGACCTTCTCCCCCTGAAAATACTTTTATATTCATGCCTATTACGGTATCCAATGGATGCCATCCGCACAGATCTAATCAGATTCGCACTGTCGGAATAAGCGAGCGCGAAGGATTCGATTCGTACGAATGGAACCGGAATAGGTCTGTTTCCGAGGGATGCCATTCTCATGAATCCAATCCTTCTCACTCCCTTGTTTTGACAGTGCGAATTGGATTAGATCCGTGCGGATGGCATCCATCGGACACCGTAATAGCCATGATTGTTCTAGTTCACCTCATAGAAAAAGGCAACTCAGCTGCTGTTATTATCTTTTCCATCATCGAATTAAAGAAGTCACACCTTAGGAAGATGCGGTGCCTGAAACGTCATTTGGTAAGGACCGGTTTTGAAAGACCCTTCTAAATTATGACGCAGCTAGTGTTTTCGCGCAACGTCATTTTTATACAGCCCTATTAGTTGCGCGGGGATATCAAATTCAGACACCGCTACATATAGGCGGTCCGGTAAAATTTTTTACAAGAGCTCCACGATTTGGTTTATTTTTAATACTTGGTCTATGGTGACCATGGTACCATGTCTAAATCAGTTCGTTGGCGATGGGCTTTAGCCTTTCACACACACAATACGCTCAATAAGACCTTGTAGGCAATGCTTAGACGGCTGGTTCGTACTGGTGTCGCCCTTTTTGTGGATTGAACAGATCAGACTTTAATTCCAGTCGCCGAGCCTGTATTCATCCGACCATATTCTGCATAATAGTTGATACATTCGCCTATCAGTTTCCCGCCACCGTACTTCAATAGCTTAGTTGGCTGTTCGTCACCTTGACATTCGTTTATATGGACAATGTGGAACAAAGATAAATAGGCTTTACGGGCTTTCCACAGAACCATTCACCGAAAGATATATTGGTCTGTTTCCGTGGGCGACAGAGGTGCCATAGTTAATAAACCGCTCACCGAAGAGCTTTCGCATGTTGTTGTTGCGGTACTACTAAGCCCCACCATTTCGGTTTATCCGTTAATCATTTCATCGAGGTCAACTAACGGTAGGCCCAAGAAACCGGCAGTTTCAACAGGGTCGGACGTAAGGGATTGAGGTGTTAAATGAGTGGAGGTGGCTACAGTTTCAGACCGTAAGTGGGCCAGGGTAACGCTGGTCTCTCTTGGCAGTTGAAGCTCCATGTCAGAAACAGGTGGTGATTGGGCCCCGGTCACGGTATTCATAGGCCGAGAGTCGTGGTAGATGGTGACCTACTCCCTATAAATACCGTTGATTGCTCCTCGGTACGTCGTCGGGTCCAGTGGTTGGTCGATGTATGTCTAGAACGCGTTCTTGTAAAATAATAGGAGCCCCCTGCTATGCGTGGGTGGAGTCTCCTCCTCTAGCAAGGGTCTGTTTGGGTGTTCACGTCTCGCATGCTCTAGCCTTAACCTGAAGGCCTAAAGGAGACTCTGAAAGTCTTCAGATCTTATCGACTAAAATTCCGAATTCGTTCCGATAATCCTCTATCTGGACGATGTTATAAATTTCTGAGACTGCCTTTGCTCTTTGGACTCTGCTGTGTAAGCTTTTGACGAACCACAAACAGGTTGTGGACCATATAAGTTCCGAAGTCAGCTCGGTACGGTGACCTGGTTATGCGAGCTAAATTGGTTCTATTGAGTCCAGAGCTTTTAATACTGCTGACACCGGGAACAGCATTGCCATTCTCGAACATGCATCCATTAGTAGTCTACAAACCAGACTCTTCAAGTGTTCATTTGAGGAACTAATACCTTGTAGGACCTGTTAAAGGATAATTTTGCTGGCATTTTGTCTATGAGTTGGATAACAGGATTCTCAAAGCATAGATTTAAAACCATGAAGCGCCCATAAATGTCTTGAATTCTTAGGCTAATTAAATTGCTGAGACATAACGCGCTCCAGCAAGCTTCATTGTCAATTACTATGGCTAGAGTGGGCTAGAGGTATGCCTGTCAGGAATCGTACTACTTTCGTTGGCCAAGTGAACATGGCTCCTGTAATGGCTACACAGACTAAGCGGTGCTTGACTTTTGGCCTCCTGTTTTCCTGATATCTGAACAAGCATCTAATAATCGATATTTAATGATCAAAACATCAGTCTGGGGGATAGCCCCCATGTTTTACTATAAAGTCTCTGACAGCCTTGTTGTTAACAGCTATGAGATGTGACATTCAGGTGAACCCTTTTTACAGGATTATTCCTACATAATTCGCCTCTCGTGATAATTCAATCTCCCCAATTCCCGGTGGTAGGCTTGTAAAGCCAAATAAAAAGATGACGACGCTCGAGTGAAGGCTCTTCTTTAGATAATTGCAGCCCCGATTTATGTCTACAAACCGACGCTTAGACCAATGAAAAAGAAACGATTTGTTGTATTTTTCATAATTTATATTTCAATTATTTTATTGAATTCATTCAAATTTCGCATTCATACGAAAATAGTTTATCTTTTTACATTTAAAACTACATCCAGATAAATTTAGTATTTAACATACAATAATGCATTACATACATACATATCTACATATGTATGCATATGTATGTACACATTTATAATTTTAGCGATTCTAAAAATAGTACATATGTATGTATTCATGTATTCGTTTGTATGTATGTATGTATGTATATTTATAAAAATATAATCATTGCATTTTTTCTTTCCATAAAATTTCAGTCAGGGACGGGGACAGAGTTGCTTTGTGGGCTTCTTAAGGGTGAGCATAACTAATTAAATATTTTACACTGCTTAGGGCTAATCAATCTTTTTATTGTATACACTTTGTTGTGATTTTCTTTAGCGAATACGGTGGTAGCGCAATTGCATACATACATACATACATATGAAGAAGCGCCTAGTAACAAATAGGCCAATACAAGTAATACAGTGGATAACAAAAAAACAAGAACCAGTTAAACAGAAACAGTTTTTAACTTACTGCTAACTAAATACATAATTAAATTACTAATTTTTAAAATTACATACCTATGTACTTATGTATATACTCATAGAGAAAAAATTTTCCATTTCAAATTTGGATAGCGTTTGTGGCAGCGCCAATGCCTACACGCTGGGAATTGAATTCCATAAGCGCTGCTTTAATCATTTTTTTCATAGCCAACTTCACCTACACACTCACTTTCATTTGGCCCTCGTCGCGTTTGCACCACTGCCAGCGCTAGCGCTATGATTGCCAACGGCAGGCGGGGCATTGACGCTGGCGGAATTCGTTGACTTTGCAGTCGCACTGCTGCTACCCACTGTTGGCCCTGGCGTAGCTTTCGGGCCTGCTACAGACGCTGCTTTGCCGCTACCTACAGCGCCGACATTCTCCAACGGCTTGTCAGCCGTGCCGTTCTTCAGCTTCTGCATGAACTCATTTAACGCTTCGGCGCGCTGCATGCGCGACAGCTGCTCCAGCATGAACGCTTGCTGGTAGCTGTAGTGGTGACTTAACTGCTGCGCATTTGCATAGGGGTAGAACATTCCACCGGGCTGTGAGGCGGCCGCCGCCGCTTGCGCCTGTGCGCGCAGCAGATTATCCTTGAAGAGCTTACTGAAGTCAGCGCCTAGGTGCGATGGCATGCCGGGCAATCCTGCAGCCATAGCGGCGACTTGGAGCGCTGTTGGCGGTAGATTGGACATGGCGGGTAGACTCGGCAGCGATGGCATGCTGGCGGAGGACATGCCAGGGTGTGGAGGGTGCATCATCTTGGCGTTAACGTTGGCGTTCGGTGATGAAATGGGCGGTGGTGTGACACTGGATCTAGCGTTCGGTGCCAATTTTGAGGACTGTTGATGCGCAGGTGAGGGAGATTTGTTCGACTGTGGCGCACTGCCTTTCGCAGCGCTCAATGCATTAGGCGAGTGGCCGTTTTTAGGCTGCTGATGCGCCGCCTGTGGTTGAGGCTGGTGTTGTTGTGCGCCCGGTGATTTCTTAGGCGGCGTGACTTTCTTGTTTGCGTGCACCTTGACTGCCACACCGCTTGGCGCCGAGTAGGTGCCGATAATATTGGCTGTGGTTACTTTTGGTGGCACGACTTCAGAAATTGCAGACGTGGGATTTTGACGCGGCAAAATGGGGCGGAATTTCTTGCTAGCATCGATACCGCCCGAACTGCTGGGTGACTTGTGTGTAGTCTTACCATTGGGGGAAGTGTTGATGTTCTTCTCGGGGCTTTGCATAGGCGACCTCTTCTCTCCACTGGGCTTTTGATGATCCGCTTGTGGCGATTTCAAGGGATCAAGCACTTTCATAGTGGACTTTTGCGGGCCACTGTCGTTTGTGTGCTTTGGGTTCTGGTGAAAAGCAGTCGCGTTCGGTTGCGGCGATTTTGTTGCCGAAGTTGAATTTTGGGAGATAGTTTGCGTTTTGTTTGCACCACTCATTACACTGCCGTATGTTGTCTTCTGTGCGGCCATGTTACTTTGAGGTTTCTGTGTCATTTGTGTTAAATTTGTAGCGCCATAAGCGGCAGATTTACTCTCTGCACAGTCGCGCTTTGCAGGCGAACCCGATGTGGGTGCGTTCCCCGACGGCGGCATAAGCAGCTTGAGCGACGACGACTGCGTTGTTGGGGGCAGTTTTTGCGCGGGCGGTGAAGCCCGTTTACTTTGTTGCTCCACAACCTCGGTTGGCTGATCGGGCAATTTCAGTATCTCAATGTAGTTGTTAACCGGGCTCTTGTGCTTCGGATATGAGGCGTTATTTGCCTGTGATTCGCTATCTTCGCGAGTAATGGTAATCGATAGCGAGGAGGGAATGTTTATGTTGCACGAAGTTAGCAAGGACTTCACTTTCAGTTGTTTCTCTGGCGGATCCTCCGGACTGGGGCTGCGTGCGAAGGGATAAACCCGCTTAGGGGCTTGCATTTGGCTGCTATCCGCTGTCTTCTGGTTCCCGCCATAGGACGGCGAGCTGTTTCCACTTGTTGAACTCGAATTCGGCAACTCTTTCTTAGTTGGGGGCGCTGGAAAAAGTCCGGCCATTTGATTATTGCCGCCACCTAATAAATTTTGCAAGAAACTGCCAGAACCACTGGAGGGACGTGGCGTGTACTTGTAAGTAGGCACTGTGGGAATGTTGTAATTCGGCATATACTGCGGCGAGCTGGGCGAATAAATTGGCGAATTGGGCGTGTACATGGGTGTGCGGCAACCGGGTGGCACCTCATTACCTTTCGTTTTGGAAGCGTTGAACAGCGCGAGGTTTAAGTAATTATTCGAATTGCTGGATTTTCCATTCTTCCCGCCCGACTTGTTGGCATTACCCGCTGCCCCCAGCCGCGTTTGGTTGATATTTTGAGGCTGCTGCTTAACAACTGGTGTGGGCGGTGGCCCCATCAGACTATTGTCTGGCGTTATTGTTGTGCCACTGGTGGCTGTCTTCGGCCCGTACACCTTCGCTGATGACTTAGCATTACTAGCGATTGACTTGATTTCAGTACCAGCATCCTTCAGTAGCTTATTGACGTCACTTGGTATGTTAGCAAACGGGTTGGGACGTGTTGACTTCGGCAGTATGGGTTGGTAGCGCTTTGCAATCGGTGTGCGATTGCCAGGTGCAGACATTTCGATGCGTGTAAATGGCTGCGTAGGGGGTAAGGAATTGTTTTTATGCGCCGCTGCACTCAACTTGCCGGAGGGCTTTTTTGGCGGCATACCAATCGGCGGGCGCATAATCGCTTGGCTGCTGCTGGTGACTGGTTTGGCGCTTGTGGATGTTGTTGTGATTGTGGTGCCAACATGCGTTGCGGCAGTCAGCGAGCTGGTAGTTTTTGGTGGCGGCATAAGCGGCTTATCATTCGCTGCGGTACCAGATTTTGCGGCAGGTGAGCCAGCGGGTTTTGTTGTGTTGCCAATCGGGTTTGGAGGCAACTTTATTTTAAAGTCATCTGCCGGGAGTGGTGGTGATAATTTAGGCTTCTTTACTACATTCTTAACTGGTTCCTTAATCTTACGTTTTGATGGGATGCCGGTGCCTTTGTACACAGTACTTATTGTTGTCTTAAGCGGATCGCGTGCTGAGCTTGTGGGCGACTTTACCACAACTTTGTGTGTATAACCCGAATTGGGGCTGGTTTTCGGCGACTTCGGAGACTTTTCGGGTGATTCGCTCTTTACGGATTTAATCGGTGTCAGTGCAAATGACTTGAGAAATTGAGATTTTTGTTCGTCCTCATTGCAGGTGGGTGACGCAGGCGTGGGCGTCTTTTCCCTTGTATGGTTATTGTTTTTTGCCAAAGGACTTATTTTGGTTTGCGGACTGATTTGTTCGGCTTTTATTGTCAGTGGTGGTACAGTAAGTGGACTGGGAGTTTTGCTTTTGCGCTCACCGCTCGATGAGTGCTTAGGACTTGCCGAATCCTTATCCTTTTTACTTTTCAGCTTCCACTCCTTTTCAGGGCGTACAGACTTGGTAATCTCACGACGATTTGGATCAGACATATTTATAATGGTAACGCTGTTATGCTTTGACAGGTCAATTTTAAGCTTAATATTTTCAACCTTCCGTTCATCACGTGGCGGTTCTGCAGCTTGTTTTAGCGCTTCCTTAGCTTCTTTAGCTTCCCGTTTCTCTTTGGAAGTTTTCGGTGAGCTGTGTGAGTGATGCGCATTCAGAGCTTTTTCCGCTTTCTCCGCTTTACGCTCCGCTGAAGACCGCTTAGTCTCTGTGGTCGAGCTGACTGCAGGCATTTTGGAGGTGGTCTTTGGCGGCTTCACTGGTTTCGTTGCTGGTTCAACACTCGACTTTATCTTCTTTTCTAAAACCGCTTCTATTTCTTTTTCTTCTTTTATATCATCTGGCGTTACGAGAAGCGGATCTGTAGCATTTAGAGCTGCCACAACAACGGGTTTCGGAATTATTATCATAGCATCCGGTACAGGCGTGGTGCTGGTGGTGGTGATCGCTTGTGGAACTTCAACAACTACGATTTTCGGCGGCGCATTTGCCGTCGTTGCCGGTACGTCCACAACCTCATCCTTTATTTCAACCACTTCTGGCGCAGTTACTGGCACTATGGCCGCTGGTCTACGTGCTTTCACAATTGGTCGTAGACAACGTTTCACACGAAAGTAGAAACGCATTGGCGCATCACGTTTCCATGTGTAAATATACGCTACATCCATGAGCGTGTAGTGATCGAGCAGAACGATGGTCTTCACCTTGTACATGATGTCAATGTTGAAACGCTGCGCATCAATATCGAATTTCCCATGTACGAATTTCTTCAAATGACCAACAGTGCACATAGCGGGACACTGCAGGTAACGTGGCTTCAGCAATTCACCATAGCCACTTTTTCGTCGAACTAGTTCGCTGTAATGGGAAGAGAAGAGGAGAGAGGAAAGGGAACATAGTTGTAGTTGTGTGTGGAATATGGAATAATATGTAAGCGTTAGAAATTGTATGCATTTTTGTAATGCATTAAATCGATATTGGAGATATCGAAAAGCAGAGAAGTAGTATATCCTAAATACGAGGGTTGATCGAAAAATCAGTGACGCTTTGAATTTGCCATTGAGTAATTTTAAATGCAACACTGTTGCTTTCAACTATCATCTGCTAAATACTATACAAGTTTGACCAAACTAAGGCATTTCGTTTGTTTTTTTTTTGACAACGAAAATAGAAAAAGTGAATTCCGTCTGCAGCTAAACCAAAGAAAGGTTTAATAAATTCAATGGCTAAGGAGTGGTTTAGGCGGTGTTTACACGAGGCAATTTGACAGGCAACTTTTAGTTGAAAGCAACAATCGCCTGGTGTGAACGGCCTTTCAATTAATTTGTGCCAATGAAGCTGGGGCCATCCAACTTATGATTCAACTAATCACCTCTAAAATTGCTCCATGCAAAAACCGTATTACTGAATTCCTAAGTGATCGGTAGGGGGAGCGAATAAATCAATTTTTCAAAACTGCGTGGTCAGCAGATAAACATTGTCAATAATCAATGCGATTTTTAAAGTATGCACAACACTATACTAAATATGTAATTTAATGGGATACAAAACTGCACACTCAAAGTCTTTCTAGAAAATTATTTTCCGATCAGAAAACAGTTTAACATATGTAGTTCAATGTGTTCATGTTACGCAACTATTCCGCACAATTAGAATTTCGAAATTGAAAATTTGATTTTTCCGCTCCTCCCTACTGAGCGGGTTAATCAAATTTTAAATGATACGAGATTGATTGATTGGATACGAGAAATCAAAATTATTCTCCAGATATAGCCTCCCAATGACTATTTTCCGTTTCCAAATCTGAAGATGTGGCTCGTTGGTAAAAGATTTGGGTCGATTGGAAAGTAGGGCTGGGACTAACCCCATACCCAGTCGTGCAATCGTTTATACGGATACAAACCGGATACCCGGAATATTCCTTCCTCTTTGATTATCCGGATATTCAAAAAAGGTCAAGTATCAAACTAAACGAATAATATATAAGGAAATAAAACGGTAATTTCAAAAAAAAAAAAAATGTATTCGAAAACGCACTGACTTATCCACCTAACCTCGTGCATTGATATGCTGTACTTACTCTGTATCCGCAAACTCCAGCGACAATGACATATAGTCAGAAGGGCTAAAGATGAGATGCTCCGTATCATCACCACGTTGTTCAGGTGTCGCCATGGCAGCCTCTTCCGGACGATCTTTGTAGAAAGCGCGCTTGCGCATAAGTTCCCGCTCATAGAGGCCGGGTACAAGTTTGTAAACAATGGCCTGCAAAGTGGTATCAGGTCTGCAATAAAGGCAATTAAAGAAAAAATTATAAACAAGAGCAAACATTACATAACCTAAAATTAGTAGGTATAAGTATAAGACAATTTTAAACTTCGCATGAACCTCATCAAATCAAAATTTCCAATTTATAGGAAGTCTCAGTTGAAGCTTTTTTTAAATTCCCTCTATGAATACTACTATTTCTTCATTTTCTTTCATATAAAGTACTTCAGAATGTTTCTCAACGACGAAAGAGGGTTATTTTTGGGATGAGCTTGATTTAAAAAGGATGAAAAGAGACATTTATAGATATTTTTCAGACAACCAAGTCGCTATTAGCATCCTCTCCGACAGGAAGAGAGAACACTGGGTACCAATGAAACGAGTTCGGCTACGAATTGGCTACACTTTTCATCTGTTCTTATGGAACCGGCTTTTTTCGAGAGCTCTTAATGCTGTGTGAGTACATATAGAGGGGCCTTAGATCAGCCCGGTGCTTTTGTTTTCCTGACGTCTGCTTACTAGCAGGTTATAACTTGGCACACCCGCCAGCGTTCTCGTTTTAACGGATCGGTCTGTCCACAGAAACGGAATTCCGGCTTTGATACGCATTAGATAGAATACAACTCTCCTGGCTGAAAATAAGTATTAGGATACTTTCGGTTTTACCCTTTTTTATTATGTACATTAGACCGTGCCACCATACAAGCAAACAAAAAAAGTTCGCCGTGCATCCCTGAGTCTAAGGGTGCGTTCACACAGAAAGCCGAGCGGCGCTTTTCTGATGGACACGGCTGCAAAGATACCACACAAATTCAAAATCAAAAACTGCTTTACATTCAGCTCCAAGACGCTTGCTGTATGAACACTTTCGTACAGCTACAGCAATTTGAAAGCTTCACTTAGCTCGGAACGGCTTCGCTCGGCTCGGCTCCGTTTTCTGTGTGAACGCACTCTAAAGTATTTTTGCAAGCCGATTTCGAAAAATATTTAATTTTTTTTTTGCCGGCGAACAAAAATCACGCTCCACAAATCTCTTATCATGCCCGTCCCTTTATATGGCGCGAGAACGTGGACGATGTCTAACAAAGATGAAAAGGATTTGGGGGCGTTAGGGAGAACAATTCTACACTAGATCTATGGCCCTGTTTGCGTGGGAGACGCGTACCGAAGAAGATGGAACGACGAACTGTAGGAGCTTTTTAACGACATGGACTTAGTTAAGCGCATAAAAATACAACGATTTCGGCGCTTAGACATCTTGTACGAATTAGGGCATTCAATACCGGGGTCACGGGATTGTGGCTTCGGGATTTGGAGACGTTTACTGGGTTTTTCAATTAATATATATATTTGAGAATTAAAATATTAAAATATTTCAACCTTAAGTTACGGGCTTTTCTACTAAGGTGCATTATGCTTCGCACAAATCATTAAAATGTTGTAATTAATTTGAAAAGTTTTGAGAAAAAATCTATTCGATTTGTCTTAAACAACCCTAACTGAACCTAAAATAAATCGTATCCATCTCTTCCGGCAGTCTCAAACAAATCTTGAAAGTCAATGCCCTGATAATCCAAACAGCTATAAAGTTTTGAAAATCTCGTTTAATAGCATACCATTCAGAGCAGACAAGCCTCATACATACAGTGACTCAAACAAGTGGCCACGACCACATGTTGACTTTTTAATACATATCTATTCTCAATGTTTTTCAAGTAAATTTTATATATATTTTTTTTTTTGTATAAAAATATTGTTCAAGCTTTAACTAAATCCATATAATTAAATCAAAGCTTCAAACTATATACACAATTAAGGAAAATTCAACAAATATTCCTAAAAATTTCAAACTTTCTAATCTGAGTCTTTACAACATTTGTGGGAGTGCAGTTGGCTGAGATTTCCTATAATGGACCATTTCCTATATCACCCAAAGTATTACGAATTTTTTAATGAAATTCGCAGGGGGTGTTGAGGAGGTGCTCATTGACCGATATCATCAACATTTTGTGTACAAATGCTAAAAGTTTTTAAGTTATTCGTTGTTAAAATTTCCCCACTGCTTCACAATTATTTTTTTATAAACACTGCACTAATCGCTTTTCTTTTTATTAATACACCATCTTTTCTTCATAAACAAATGGATGCACATCTTTTTTCACTAAATATTTAGCCATTAATGCTTATAAAAGTGTTCTTAAAATATTTTTCTATTATCAAAGAATAGTAACACAAAATTGTTCAGCGATGGCCGCCATGAATGAGGTGCCACATCGTTGAAAATGTTAATAGTTCTTTTTAGCCAAAAATACTTTGTGATGCATTACGGGATTGAAGGCTAAAAGGAAAATATTAATTTCACGGTCTTATTTATGCACATATATTTAAGAGTTTCTTTTAAATCGGTGATATATATATTAATATTATTGTAAAAATATATTTTAATGTATATAGTGCATTTTGAAATATATAATCGGGCGCTTTTTTCTAAAAAATCCAACGCTTCCATATATCTTGAAAATTTTTAATAAAAAATCGCGCGATTTTTTATTACAAATTTTCGCCAGCGGCGCTTTTTTCTAAAAAATCCAATACTTCCACATATCTTGAAAATTTTTAATAAAAAATCGCGCGATTTTCACCTGCGGCCCTTTTTTTATCAATTCTTCCATATATAGTGAAAATATCCAATAAAAAAGCTATAACATATATGTACATGTCCACTTAATTATTTACGTTTTCGTTGATTCTCTTTTCAGTACTTTTTTTTTACACATTTTTTGTGATGTGTGGCAGCACCGCAATTTCAGTACATTCGATGTACAAAGGAAAATGTGAGGTTAAATTGCACTTTTTTTACAAATTTTACAACGAATTACTTAAAAACTATAAGCCTCCGGAGGAGGATTTAGAATCACAAAAAGCCGCTCTAAATCCCCTCATTTTTTTTCAAAGCCTGGTCCATTATTGGACAATTTTCCCGTGCAGTTTTGTAGCCCATGTTTAGTCCAGTGAAATGCAAGTTTAATGCGGCTAAAAAATTGCATTCATTTTTGATAATTTTTTTTGTTGAATTTTTCTGAATTTTGTATAAAGTTTGATACTTTCATTTATACATATGGTTTTGGTTAAAGCATTTACAATGTTTTATAGAAAAACAACAAAACCAAAAATAACCTGAAAAACATTGCGAATATTAAAAAAAAAAATCAACACGTGGTCACTTGTTTGAGTCACTGTATGAATGAATGAAGAATATGTACATTTGTACCTTCTAAGCTTGCGACGAGTGCTTTGTATCCGGCGGGGTGATAACTAATGTATTCAAATGTAATGTAGTGTGAAAAAGTTTATGCCTTCTCGAGAATCAAACGAATCTGCTAAATGCATGGCATTGAAGAACGCAAGTGTCAGTCTATGATTATTCAGGTATGTATAGATATGTATGTAAGTACATACAAGTACATATGTATGAATACATACATATGTATATGTATATAATAAGTACTACGTCGGTATGTACATAAGTATTTCGCCCTTCCTAATCACAAATATTACAGCAATGTTTCATTTGAGTACCGCAGCATGCATTTGGCTAATGCAAATCGCAAATAAGCAAATGCTGTTCGCACAGAAATTCGTTCATTTGTATCTATGAATGTATGTATTCAGGTATGTCTACATATGTATATATATATGTATGAACTGGGTACATAAAAAAGGCATCAAAGATTTTACTGACGACGTCAATGGTGAGACCAGTGCACGGACTTCACCACTTTATTGGTAGATATACCACCTTTTTAGCTGTATTTTATTTTCTACAATTTTTACCAACAAAGGCTAAACATCGATTTAGAGAGAATGCAAACAGATTTAAATCAAAGCAGTGTATATGTACATATTTTGCCATCGAACACATCTATAATAAAAATGAAAAGTTAACTCTGACCATAACCAATTTAAAAGTGAAACAGCATCTCTATCAGCTGTTTATGTAAATATTTTTCGTTTGCAATACATTGTTAGAAATTGACAAACGAAAGGTCTGCAAAATTCAAGTATTTCAAATCTAATTTAAAAAAAGGGGTGGAAGTAGGCCGTGATCGAATCCAATGTGAGTCAAATTTTTTTGTGATATTACGGCATTTGGTAGCGAGTTCGCTCTTTCAATTGAAATAGTATTTAAGAGAACACAGCTGTAATTTTATTTCATTCCATTCGCAACGAATTTCGTTCGATCACGAATTCCGGGATTCGAGCCCCGCTTTATGTATAAAATATACAATCAAAAAAATACAATATTTCCCAAGGCGAATTATAACAAATACATCATTTTGAAATTAAAAACGATCGAGGCGAAAATTCAGCTGCTGTGGTAACACCATCTTATATACATAAATTCGCCTTGTTTTATCGCGTATGAGTAAAAACTATATAATATTGTTTCTTTTAAAAAAGCTACCAACTTCTACCATTTTTTGTATGTGAAATCTACCACTATTTATTAGTGGTTGTCCGTACACTGGGTGAGACAACGTACCAACAACAATTACCTACACTAATGCTGTCGTAGCGGATGGTACTTTATCAGCTTGAAAAAGTTTAAAAGAATGGAGCGAAACGAGTGAGTGTCTGTTGCCTATTGTCGCTGCAGGAATCTCGGTAGCAATGACGACAGACAATACACCACATTGCATTTCGAATTCAACGCACATTCGATATAACAGCACAACAACAACAACGTAACAATGATAACGCAAGCAAGTAGATGGTAAAAATGGAAAAGCATAAAAAAGAAAATCAAAAAATGTAAATAAAACAATAAACAATGCCTGCAGCACTCCGCCGACCCACAGCAAGCATTGGCAGTGATATGGAAATACGGGCAGCAGGCAGAGCGCGTTTGAAAAACAAACGTGAGAGCGCAGCACTACCAACATATGCACAACGGCGAGTTTTTTATAAACATTTCCTTTTTTCCTTCTTTCCATTCATTCTTGTGCACAGCTTTTTGCCTTTATGCTTTGCTTGCACCTTCGTCGTTTCGTTTTGGGGTTTTGCCACTCCAACTTCATATTTCTGTTATTCTCATTAAATCTGTTTCGCTACATTTTTATGTTCGCTGCTTTCGGTTTTTTTCTACTCGGCACTTTAAAGTGTGGAAACACAACTGAGAATGGAGTGACTTCTCCTAGTGCGCGTTATTGCTTGAAACGAGCTGGGAAACGACCGGAATCTGTAGGAAACGGCACATTACCTTTGGAGCAGCTCACTTTACTGGTTCGTAGATACGAGGCTTGCAGCTGTGCTCGCAATGCAAAGGCCAAATTGTGACGGCCCCAACGCTTCTGTAATACCACATACACATACATACATACATACCTATACGTAAGTGCATGCCGCCGGCAAATCGAAGCGAAACCCCGCCCGCCGGTTAATTGTGAGTGTTTATTGCGCTGCATGAGGCATCGAAGAAACATAATGACGACGCTTCAGTGGCAGGGTAACGTTTTCGGCAACAAGGGCACAAACAGCAGACACACGAGATTCCCTACCAGAAGATGTAAGGGTATGCTCGCAAGACAAAAAGATAAAAATAAAAGAAATAAAAAGAAAAAACACGCGATTCAACTGAAATTCACTTAATTGGCATTTTGATTATGTTTCCGGAGAGCGGGATTTATTTTTCCCTCCAAGGTAAACTGTCGCTTGTGCGCGAACGACTTATTCCTTTATTTTATTTTACTTTATTTTTTTCTTTTTCATTGCTTTCACGTTCTTTTACTCCTGTCGAACATCGTCCCTTTTATTTTTGCATTACAACACACACGCCGCCTGCTAGCAAGCCACAGCCACACATGCCACATTACATGGTTGTAGATGCCGTTAATCAGATGATATCAGCAAAAAAAAAACGAGCTTGTCCCGGAATTGCCAAGCTGAAGGGGATGCAATGCAGTGTTAAGATTTCGGCGTTGAAAAGAGGGTGAGTTCGCGCACAAGTAGTTTTTGGATGAAATATTTTCTGTCAAGATGAATGAGGTGCGTATTTTATCTACTACCGGACAGGGAAGACGTTGGATCAAGGAAGAACCAGAGAACAAAATAAAATTGAGAATTGAAATAATTGGACGGATTAATAAAGCAAAAATAAATGTATGTATGTATGTAGTTAGCTTGAATTAAATGTGCATGGGAACATTTGAAGATACGAATTGACATAGAAGCTTACGAATATACGTGCATTAGGGTGGCTCTCCAATAAAAGATGCGGTTTTTCCACTGGAATTATAAAATATATTACATTTTAAGATTTCCGCCAAAATATTTCGGAAAATTGTTATGTTATGTTATGTTATGTGATGCCGATTTTTGAAGGTACTTTCAAATGTTTTCAGCTCACGTAAATCATAATACTTTTTCAAAATATTTTAGCAGAAACCTTACACCCAAATGAATAATGTCACTTTATAGAGCTCTTTAAATCTTTTCTATTTTTTATAAATATAACCATTAATATATAATAAATTGTATAATTACAACAGAAAAATAGTGATTACTTTATAGTAGCAACTCTGCAGTGATTACGTATGTATGTACGTTAGAGTGCATCACTGCCCATACAAAGAAAAAATCGGTATTGCTTTCACTTCGGAATTATGCAATATATAATATTTTAAGGACGTTTTAAGCTTATACTCTTCGCCTGAGTTGATTTTTTAGAAAAAAAGACAATTATATATATTTATGAAAAACTTTTTGGGTGATATTTTCAAATCGGTCCAGCTCATGTAGATCTAAATATTCTTCCGAAACATTTTGGCATAAGTATTAAAATACATATAATAAAGTATACAATTCAGGTGGAAAAACAAGAACTTTTTTCGCGAGGCACCTTAATGTATGTACATATGTATCTCAGACATATGGAAAGTACAAAAACTAGATGTGTTACCGAAACCGGGCGAGCGATAAGGTTAAACAGGACTTTCCTGACCTATATGGCCCCTGGAGACTTTAGGAAGAAGAGGATTATTAGGCCGGGTTAGTTTGAAGTGGCTTCTACTGGCCACACTAGCACAGAGTGCGGGATATTTGCATAACAAGTGTTGTAACGGTTTTGGCTCTTCTTTATTCCTGCAGCTTCTACAGAAGTCGTTATGGTAAACTCTTGCAAATTCCTCTGACTGAAGACTACACCTCTGGCCTTATTGCCTACTTTTGAACCATTTGTGAGGAAGTGGAATGGTCCATTTTCAGGAGCGTTAACCGGCAATGAAAATGGGTGAATCGTAGGCAGAGTGGAATGAATTTCATTTGATGTAGCATCTATGGGCCACGGTATCTACCGCAGCTAATTACATCGATCTGGACAAGTCTATTCACCATTTGATCCAGTCTGCAACGTTAGGGAAAATACTTCCCACGTACATATATATTTTTTACACACCCAAGCTTAAACGCCATACTTGACAACATGCATCTTTTTGAGCGCAATTGGCCCATCCTTTGCAGCGTGTTGCTTGGATAAATAAGCAATTGCGAGATGGTGGCACCAGACGCCGCAGCAGTATTTGATCAAGGCCGTGACCTAGGGTCTTAGCACTGCTAGAAACAGCATCGCGCCACCTCCCGACGATCGGTACATACGGTAGGAGCTTTGGTGAGTTAAACTTTCACATTGACAGTTTAAGGTATTGTGGACAGGCTTTCCATGTTTAAACCTCGTAAAAAAATAAACACATTAAGGGTCAACTAATTAGAAAGCTTACATCTTATTTATAAAAAACCAGTTACTTGTTCTGAAAATTTTAAATTTGGTTGGAAATCATTTGCTTCGGCTCAACGAGACATTAACTAATATATATAGGTAACTACCCAATTTGCCAAACGACGTCGTAACGACTCCCCTGCAGCCCGCAAAAACGATATACCAGCGAACTGCAAAACGATGCTCAAAATTTATACCAGATTTAAAGTAAAAGTACAGTTTTATACCAAATTTAAAAAAACTTCATACCCACTAATTTTATTTTTTTATGAATAAGGCCAATAGAGTGAACTGTACCTTTATAAAAAAAAATATAAAAAATAATATGAAGAATATTATGAATACTGAAAAAATGATGTAGGCGGCTCAGTTTTCTGAGTACAAGTGTACATTGTGGATTCCATATTCTGTCATAATAAAAAATTGTCATAATCAAAACGGTTTACTATACAAATGAATGACTTTTATTTATACTTAGATACAAACGACTTCACCAGAGCGACGTCGTAACGACGTCGGTTCGAGTTCACCAAAACGACTTCGCCAGAGCGACGTCGCAACTACGTCATAACGACGTCGTCTTCGCCCTGTGGCAAATTGGGTATTCACACAAAGACTTTGAAGCAATTTCGTCCTCCCTTCTAAAGCTCGAAGCATTCGGCCTGGATTTCATGGTCATCTCTTTTACTTTACAAAGGTAATAGCCATTTAATTGCAGGCATAGAATAATACAAAATTTTTACTTAATTTAATTTGTAGCACAATTTATCGTAAAACTTTATTCTCTATTAAATTTTTTATCACCCACATAAATGCCTTATACTAAAAACACATACATACATGCGCGTTTATATATATAAATGTATGCATACCTACATACATACATATGTACATACATACTTATGTATAAATAATATGGCAAGCAATGCCTACTCACTTGATATTTGGCTTGGCCGTGTTTATCATCATTTCACAGCGTGGGCAGTACTGCTCCGTCCGTAAATGTTTGATCAGGCAACTATGACAAACTGTAATGAAGAGAGAAGAAAAATAAATTAATTATAACATTGCTTTCATGTATGTACATTAGGGTGGTCCTTAATTGTAGGAAGCAAATTTTTTACATCTGATTTCCTAAGCCTCAACCCCTGCGTAGATGGGTCTAAGTATAGCCGAAGATATCACATATGAATTTTGGGCTCCTTTGGGGTCGGTTAAGACGTGTCGCAGAGGGGTCAAAGTTCAGATTACCGTATGAAGACGTCTTAAACAACTCCAATCTGGACCAAAATTTATAAGTGATCTCCCCAACTTTAGTAGATCGAAAAATATTTTTAATTTTTTTGGGTCCATAGAGGCATCTGGCTTTTGACCCCTTTGCGACACGCCTTAACCGACTCCAATCGGGAACAAAATTTATACTATGTGATATCTTTGACTATGGAGTATCGATTTTGAGTATTAGATGGAAAATAAAATATTTAATTTTTTGAGTCTCTATAAAGGAATCTGTACTTTGCCCCCTGTGCGACACACCTTAACCGTCTCCAATCAGGAACACAATTTATATGTGATATCTGTGGGTGTGGTATTACCGATTGAGGGGCTGAGACTGAAAAAAATCGTTTATTTGATTTTTAAAGGACCGCCCTAATGTGAATAGATTAGGAGGGCTCTCATTTTTCGAGTTTAATATTAAGAAAGAGGTTACAAAACGTTTGAAAGTTTCATCCATTACTTAATATCATTTCTGATCTAAGGGCTTTAGGAGTCAGGAGAATTCGGTTAGGCTTTCACTGACAATTGTATACGATTGGACTTAGAAGCTATATATAAGTCCGCGATTAGGAAAGGCAAGCAGATATCATGGATAAACTTCTGCTAGAAAGTGGAATGCCGCCATGAATTGTCGAGATTTCGACGTTTCTCGCTAGGAATCCTGTTCTACCTTTCCCCTAGAGAGCAGTAGGGAGTCACTTGAGTTACTGAACCAGTGAAAGAGCATGAGGAGGGTCTCAATCACCTAAATTTATTGAGCGAATCGTTGCCTTCTATGGGCTATCAACTCATTCAACCCCTGCAAGGTTCTGGCTTCCGGGGCATCATATTTGTTCAGCTAAAAAATTCAACGCGGGTGTGGTGTTGCTAGCCTGCCGCCATTTACGCGAGCTTTTGAAGCAGGAGATAAGTCCCAAAACTTTGGAGGGTGTAAAATTAAATTTTTGTACCGAAGATATGCGGTAGGTCCTCTAATTTTTCCGCCTAGGCATTTCAGACGAACAAATCTTTTACTATTCCTTTCAAAGACCCTTGAGATTTTGATTGAGATTCAATCAGCATGCTCTCGCAAAAGGACCATGTGGCCGAAGCCTTCTTAATATCGAGGACTCTTTTAAAAACAACCTGCCTAAGACCTTGTCAGTTTTATCCATTGCATGCTATGTGACAGAACCGTCGGAGTATAGAGGGGTAGCGCATCTATCCAGAACACAGTGGCTGCATTTCTTTATTCATTCTGAACGTTTGGAATAAACTTTTTTGTTTACTTATTCTTTAGAACGTTCCTGATGATATGTTAACGTATATTTCAAACACATTCTGTTTATTCCGGCTGTGAAATGGGATTATCCGGAATGTATAAAGAAACGCAGCCAGTGAGTCTAGGGGAAATTCTTCTGCATGGTAGATGATGAGGTTGAATAATCTGATTTTACCTGCCCAGAATTCGGGACGTCAAGACTTAAACACCTTAGCGTTAGCGCTCTTTGTACTATCATAGATCAATCGGGGCGACTGTGAAATCTCAAGATTCTTATGGCCGAGAATCAATAAGAGTCGCACTGAAGAATTGGTGACGCCAAACAAATCTGCATTAAGGGTTCTTGCCGGCCTCATCATAAGACACTGTGCTATAGCACTTTGGAGGGCGAATAAAAATTTTTTTTTTTTTGCAAACGACATACCAACCAGCACCCTCTTAAGAATTTGTAGAGATGAGGAAGAGGGATCTCATTTTTTTTGTTGTTGGTGATGTAATGTGGAACGATTTTCCGTCATCCCTTGTCAAATTTGGTTTGGAGACAAACCGGTTTCGGCGTTGTGCCATCTTCAGTGTCATTTTTCGTTCGGATCGATTCACTACTTCTTGTGTCAATGACCAGTTCTTCAGACAAGGGCACTCATAGAGAGAATTCACAATGGGCAAGTCTGCTACCAAGTGGAAGTACGAGTTATTCGTACTATCTTACTTCTGATGAAGTTCCGGGAGTAGTCTCTTGCGGAAATTTTTTGTGGACCTGCATATGTATAAACGTCACCGGTCGATCCTCTCCCCTTGTCCCCATCCCCATTTGACTCCTTTCCCAATCCTTATATGGTATCACAGACTACTTTTTATTTCGAGTCCAAGTATGTAAGTAGTAGTGGCAGCCATGCAACCACAACTAACCTAATCTTCTTCATACGAGCTGCCCTACAGCCCTAAAAAAAAATTAAAAATGAATTTGCTCATGACCTACATACAGTTACGGTCAAAATAATAGAATCAAGATTCAAAATGATGCATTGGCAACTTATCTTTATCTGTTTATTGTTAATAATTTTCATTTAAAATATCGGTCGACCTATGTGAGATACCACATACTTAAATAAAAGTTTCAAAGCTTGTACAAATTTCAAAAAAAATTAATCAAACTTAAAAAAATTGTCATCAAAATTTAAAAGTTTTTAATCAGAATCTTAAGAACATTTTCGGGTATGCAGTTTTGTAGCTCAATCAATTTTAGTATAATAAAGTGCAAATTCAAGTCGCTAAAAAATATCGTTGATTTTTTAATTTTTTTTTTGCGGTGTTGCGCATTTTCTTCCATATAAAAGAAAGTCTTGTTCATGCGTTACATGGAAGAAAACTAGCAACACCCTCGACAAAAAAATTCTAAAAAATCAACGGTAATTTTTGGCGACTTCAAACTTGCACTAAAATTGAATGGACTATAAAACTACATACTCGAAATCTTGCTAGAAAATCTAATTTAAAAAAAATAAAAATTTTAATGAACAGTTTTTTAAGTTTAATTAGTTTTTGTGAACTTTGTGCAAGCCTTGAAACTTTTATTTATCTGATATAGGTCGACCCATATTTTAAATGAAAAGTATTAACAATAAATAAATAAAGGTAAGTTGCCAACAGCATCATTTTGAATCTTGATTCTATTACTTTGACCGTAACTGTATGTAACAGTAATAGCCACCCAATACGCCAACTAAACGTATGTTGCTAAGTGAAATAGCAGCTATAAAATAATTGCCAGTTAATTTCACCAATAAGCTACTCAAGGACATCGACGACATGCTTATTGAAAAATCAATTCTCATTTTCCCTCCTAAAGCACTTCATAAATCTTAGTTAATTTTATTAGGTCTGTAGGTAGGTAGTACTTACATGAATGCAGGCACTCAACAATGGTTGTGGCATCGATAAGGTAACCATTGCACAAGTGACAAATTATATGCGGATTCATGACGCTCAATAGTACTTTACGCGGCTTATCGACAATCAGATTATCCACAGACGCATCGTCGGTGGCAACGAGTGCGTCAGCAGCAGCAGCATTTTTGTTGTTGGCTTCCGCCGGCGTCGTAGCTGTATCCTTGCGATTTGTTGTGGTCGTTGTCATTGTGGGAGGTGCCGATGTTTGATTAAGCGTCGATGACGTTGCTTTTGTTGCTGTTGTTGTTGTTGGAGATGTTTCCTCCACCTTGACGATCACTTGTGGATCGCATTCCTCCTTTATTTCCACACTATCTTGATTTATAGTCGACATATGTGTTGTTGCTTTTGCAATTGTTGCGTCTGCTGCTTTAGCTGCTGGTGTTGAAGTGACACCATTACAAGTAATGGTCGGCAAGGCCAACGGATCCACAGCTGGCGAGGAAGGTGGTGGTGGCGGCGACGAACTTGTAGCAGTCGAGGATGTCGACGATGTTGCCGTTGTCGGCTTAGTCGTCGGTGATTTAGTGTTGCAATTAGTTCGCGCAGACGACAATTGTGACGATGTGCCAACAACACTGCCACTAGGGGGCGAGCAGAATTGCGCCTTGTTCACGCTATTTGAAAGTGCGCCATTAACGGTAGCCGGAGTGGTTGTTTGGGTGAAGGACAACTTTGTTGTTGCGTTTGTTGTTGTTTGTTTTTGCATATCATTGGTTTTGGCCTTCATGGCACTGTTGGTATTTTTGTTCGTTGGTTGTTGGTTTTGTTGTTGCTGTTGCTGTTGCTGCTGCTGCTGCTGCTTCATTTGTCGCGCACTTCCCATTCCCTCGAAGCTCATGCCACCCCCATTACTATGCTGCATTGTCAACTTATGGTTGCTGTTATTGTTGTTATTGTGACTTTGCTCAAATTTGCCATTGCCAATGTTGTTGCTGTTGTTATTACAATTGTTGCTCTTGATGCTATTGTTGTTGTTGTTGTTGTTGTTGTTATAGTGATGCTTATTCTTGCTGGCCACACTGGTGGCCGTGCCACTTCCATGCAGTGCGCGCGAAGGTGAACCTTGTTGTTGCGAGGACACCGTTGCGCCGCGGTAAGGTGGCGAGGTTTTATTTCCTCCTGCTGTTGCTGTTGTTGTCGTTGATGCGGCTGGTGACCGTGTGGGTGCTGGTGTGGTGCCCACCACCGACGTCGCTCCAGGCACTGGTGGCATTGTTGCTCGATATCACACACACACACACACACAAGCGGGCGTGAATTCACCAACAAGCGAAAAAATTCACTGCAAATAAAAGAGAAAAATAAATATGTTAGAAAATGCGAGTGAAAAAGTTGAATTCACATATTCGAAGGACTGGACCGGATGAGTGGAATAATTAAAGAGGAATAAAATGTTTTTGGAGTTGTCAAACACACAGCCATATATATGTATGTACATACATACATTCGTGCAGACAACCATATGCTCTGCATTAGCTTATGGAATTTATATAAAATCTGTGGGGACGTTAATAAATTTTAATTTTTGAGGCACTTTAGAGGGCGAATGTATTTTTATTTTTTTTTTGCAAAGGATGGTTTACTAAAAAGTGCATGCAGCACACTGAACTAGCTAAGCTAGTGGCTGGCTTTAAAACCTGAAGGTAACTACTGTGTTTTTTATTGTACACAATACATTCTTTTAAGCAGAACAACACTATACAAAAAAGGACAAATACTGGAAGACATTTTTAGGGTTTTTTGCGGGCGACATAAAATAAGAAAAAATATTTTTTTTTAGTCAAATCAAACAAAATTCTTTTGAATTCCCTTGATAAAACGAAAACCTAATATCTACAAAAAAATGTTTCTTGGTCCTCCTGAAAAAACCTCGTTCTTGCGAAATTTTCCAAATGCTTCATAGATGTAACGAAGAAATTATGAACTCGCCAAAAATCATTAAAGTTTTGCTAATAGAGGCAGCTTACTGATGCTGGGCAATATATGTATGTACATTAGGGTGCCCATCGAAAATGCTTCTTTTTTTTTGAAATTTCAAGACGCTACCCCCTAATTTTATTCGGTTTTTATTAGAAATATTATTGCCTTTTTTATACATTTTTTAAAGGTCATTTAGAGGTCGCGATCTGTCGATTTAGGACAGAAAATATGATTTTGTAGATTTATGAGTTTTTGAATGACTATTTTTGATTCGATTTCAAAGAACGAATATGATCTGAGAAGAGGATATATAGGCCTTTAAAATGGTATATAATAATCTATTGTCGTACTAGGCTTGAGCTTTGAGTTTTTTGGAATTACCGTTACGTTGGTGGAGTGCGTGGTTTTTAAAAATTATCGATGGTCAAAATTAAAAAAAAATTAGGAGAAATATGGGTATTTTTATTAATTTACCCGATAAAAAATCCCAACAAGCCTAGTCCGACAATAGATTATTATATACCATTTTAAAGGCCTAGATATCCTCTTTTTCATCCACAGGAGAACAGAAACGTCCCTAGTTGCTCCTTATCTGGGGATAACTATTAAGGGGGTCCTTTCCAACGCCAGGTCATCAGCCACGCAGTTTCCCGCGACGTCACTGTGACCCGGCACCTAAACTAGCCTTATTAAGAAGTACTCCGACGCGATCGAATCTGAGAGGTCAGACATTACTTTACCGATTTCGAGGCCCCCATCACACCCTTTAGCAGTGGGTCTACCGCTTCCTTGAAGGCAACTATTTCCACCTGAAAGACATTGCAGAAGTCCAGAAGCCTGGATCTAGTTTTGGTGGAGAGTTTCCGACAGAAGAAACCTTCACCCACCCTGTCCCCAAGTTCGAATCCGTCCGTGAAGAAGTTTACTACTCCCTTATTTTAGTAATCCCGCCCTACCCAGTCCTCTCTTGGGGCCCTTTAGGAGGCGCTGTAAGCTATGTGTTTATTTTTTCAAAGGGGCTCTTCCATTGTGCGACTTTTTAACAAGTTTTGACCATTTTTCTTTTGTTTATTAAATGTTTATAATTTTTTACTTTATAAAAGTATAGCTCACTATCTAACAAATTTAAGTAAAAATTTCAAACGTTATGCACGATTTATAAAAATTCGACGAATTTCAACAAAAGTTCATCAAAATCGCAACAAAATTAAAAAATCTAGGTGTGCGGTTTGGGTAGCCCATTAAATTTGAGTAGGTATAACAAAGTGCAAGTTTGAAGTACATAGCTGGAACTAACCGTTGATTTTTGCATTTTTTTTTTTTGCAGACGGTATTGTGAATTTTTCTCCTTATAAAAAAATTATAAAAATAAATAAATAATACCAATTTTATTTATAAAAACTCGATTTTTGGCGGTATTTTCAAGGATGAGCAACATCCATTTAAGAGAATTTTTAAGTGAGAGCCTGTAAGTTATGTTAAGTTAGCATAATCAGACCATAAGCCTTAATATTTTTCCTAAATGTATTGGTGGAAGTCTTAAAATAGAAAATTTTTTTTAGATTTCCGATGGAATACCAGTACCGTTTTTTTTTTTTGTATGGAAAGTGATGCGCCCTAATGTACTTATTACATATCGACTGCTGAGTGGAAGAGATCGACCTATCTCGGCAGCCAGTTCGAAAACGCCATATGTATATCAAAAAACTTTTTAAGAACGCCCTATTTCAGAATTCGTTTAAAAAATGCCCTATCTCAGCTGCCGATTCAAAAACGCCTTATCGCAGCACATTTTCAATACATTTTGAAGTGAGATAGGGCGTTGTTAAACCAAATTTTGAGATATGGTGTTTTTCAATAAAAATCTGAAAAGGGGCGTTCTTGAAACGTTTTTTTGAGATAGGGCCGTCGATATTTACATATTGTCACCCTATTTTAGAATTTGATTGAAAAACGCCCTATCTCAGAATTCAGTTCAAAAATGCCCTATCTCAGCACATTTTCAATGTATGTACATATTTTCGTTTGAGATAGGGCGTTCTTCTACCAAATTCTGAAATAGGGTGCTTTTCAATAAAATTCCGAGTTAGGGCGTTCTTGAAAAGTTTTCTGAGATAGTACGTTTTCGAACTGGCTGCCGAGATAGGGCGATCTACCAATCAGCCATCAATATATAGTACTTTTGATGCAAGATTGTCATAATCCAAAAAATATACATACACACAAGTTTTAGTTAAGTACAAATGCATAAAATTTCATAGCTTTATTGATTAACGATGGCTTATTTTTTCGACTTTACTTTTATTAAACTTCGAGTTAACTTCTTTATCGTTACGAAGACATTGGGGCATATGTACCTATATTGAAAAAAAAGCGTGGTGTAAAGGATACTTTTGCAAAAAGGTAAGGAAACTTTAGAAAATAACTTGTGTACTTACTTACACACTTATGTATGTACTTATAACCGGAAGAAAGGTCAAAGGACAGTAAAACAAGATAGGAAGTCCGCAAGAATTGGACAAAAAAAAAATTAAAACGAAACTAAAAACTGACAGGAAAAGAAAAAGGCGAAAAGTTTATTGCAGGCAGCTTGAGGCCAAATGAACAAAAAAAAAATGCCAGTGAGTGACAGGGAATATTAGTGAAGGGACAAAATTTTCGTTTACTGGCAAAACAACTTTCAAGTGAAAGCATGCGGAGAAGACACAAAGTGTACCGTATACATACATACCTACATACATATGTAAGCACATACATACATATGTACATACATAGGTAAGTACTAGAACTCGCACAAAGCTGTCTCGCCCCAAGCCCAGTGTAATGGCCCGTGGCCCGTTGGCCCACGCTGAAATACGGGTTTGCCCTTTTAGTACACCAAAAGCGAAAGACTGACAACCCCTGTACCCAAAAAAACCAGACCGAAAACCCAAAGACAACAACTACATACATATGTACCCTTTGTATGTATATGAGTACAAGCGCCAAGCGCCAGCACCAGACAGCAGCAACACTCAGCAGTTGCAGAACGGCAGTAGCAACTTTAATGTCGAACGATAAGAGAATTCGAAAGCAGTCACAGCTGACGACGCGTCGTCGCAATCGCTGCCCTCTGTCACTGCCGCAGTCGGCCTAAAATAACATGGATACACACATACATATCTACTGCATGTATTTATAATAAAAAATCAGTAAAGTTATGGTAAGCAAAGCTGAGGAGAAGAGGCGAAACAGTCAAACCGAAATACAGCCACTTCGACCGAACTGAGACTGAAATGAGCCGACGACGCAACGAAATGGAACAGCAGCACAACAGCCAGTGTGGTTAAGTTGAAGAAGCTAAGGGGAGCGAAATGCAAAGGGTGGTTGACGGCAGTATCTTGCACTGAGTTTATACTATGCTTACTTACATAAATTCACACTTATGTATGTACATATGTATGTATGTATGTATGTGCCTGTAATTTTGTGATTGTGGCTGTTCTGTGCTCGTTATTTTTGTTGTTTTTCAAGTAAATTTCTTGTTGCTACAGCTGGAGTTCGTTGCAAGCGAGAAGGCCGCACTGGGAGTGTACATATTTACATACATATGTACATACAGGGTGTAGTGAGGTGGAAAGCACGAAGCAGCATAAATGAATTCGAAGACATGCGACAGTGGGGCTGTGAAATGGAAACATCTACATACCCAATTTGCCATAGAGCGAGGACGAGTTCGAAACGACGTCGTTACGATGTCGGTCGGGTGAAGTCGTTTGGGTGAACTCGAAACGATGTCGAAACGAATTAATTTTTCCATACAAAATTTTATTCTATTTTATGGCCTTATTCATAAAAAATAAAGTAGTCTTATAAAAG